TCCCCGATTGGCCGCGGTTAGCATGGCCACAAGGATCCTTAGCAGGTTTTTTTTTTTAAAGTGTAGTAGCCCTTCTTTCTCCTTAGTTAAGGTTTAGGGTTTAGGGTTCAGTGGTAGCTGCATGCTCGTGGGCGTCAGCGATAGAATCTTCAAGTCAGGACGGCACTCACTGTGAAAACTACAGAATGACTCTTGCTGCGAGGCTCAGAATCGGAGCCTGGCGTTCTGACAAACGTCAAAACTGCAGTCCTACTCCAAAAGTCAAGAAAAGACACAAGTGACACACATGATGCTTGCGTGGGATGCAGCAGTGAAGATGAGGAGTAGTACTTGTACTATTCGTCGTCGTCGTGGTCGTGGTCGTCGCTGTGGTAGTCGTTGTTGTAGGAGTAGTAGTGGTAGTAGTAGTAGTAGTAGTAGTAGTAGCAGTAGTAGTAGTAGCAGTAGTAGTAGTCGTAGTAGTAGTAGTAGTAGTAGTAGCAGCAGTAGTAGTAGCAGTACTACTACTACTACTACTACTACTACTACTGCTACGACTAGTGGTAGCAGCAGCAGCAGCCGTAGGAGACAGTTTGTAGTCAAGAGAAGTGAACTCCAGAAAACCTCGTATAGCTCGAAGCCCTCCAAGAGGACACCCACTTGAGGCAGCAAACACAAGACACACAAGACTTCAAAGGCAGCCCAGACACAGCATGGGCAGCGCCCCGATTATCTGCAATGCGAAGATCCTCGTTCAGCAGGTCATCCTACTGTAAAATGGCCTACAGGAGACAAGGTAAATGAGGTGTATACCTTCAATTGGCGAGCGACCCTGGCATGATTGGAGGTATGTTACCGAGTTCAAGGCATGCGCGCTCGGGATACATGCAGCCCGCAAACAGGCAGGGCTTGGACGGTTGCCCTTGGACACCGAGGTGACTTGTGGTGTCATATTCGTCAGGGTAGGCAATGGCTTGTGAGGCACGACTCGGGCGCTAGGCTTCCAGTTTATACTTTAAACCCTGAACACCTGCAAACCTGCGACCTCGAACGGTTTAGTGTTTAGGGTTTAGGGAGCTCAACACCCCTAGAGCACCCCGAACCCAGTCATCCTAAGGCACGAGAAAACGTAAACCTCCCAACAAACCGAAACTCTCCGACACCCGCGTGACCCCCGGCAGCCTCCGACCCTAACCTCCCCGAAGTCTAATGGAGGGGCCTTAATAATTAGAATAGGGTCTTGGGTTATCTATTACTATATTTTTTTAAAAGAAGAAAAGGGACCCCCAAAAAATGCTATTGGCAATCATTTCAGCCTCTTAAGAAGCCTCAGGGTTGCTAAAGCCCAAACTCAAGCCTCAAACTACCCCCCAAGAGCTACTAGTGATGGTGCCTCAGCACTTATGCACGGAATCATGTTGCTCCGTCCGGCACAAGAAGCCAGCGGCTCTTCCCACTACATTGCGCGGTCTTGCTGCGGCGAGGCCGGATGTCGAGCTGCCTACGAGCCAACAGCATAAACCCCGAAATCCCCGACCCAAAAGCCCCAAGTCTCAGCCGCCCTCAACCCTCAAACCTGAATGCCAAAACCCTGAACCCAAAACCTTCAAAAAAGGCTGCAGCCGAGGCGTCTTCCAGGATCGGAGCCCGGCGATGTCCAGGAAGGCCAGACCAAATGTACATCCCTGGAAGATGATCGTGGCCGCATACCCATTGCCTCGGGTTTCGGGTTCTAGGGCTTTTGGGGTGTAGGGTTTAGGGTTTTAGGGTTTCGGGATATAGGATTTCGGGTTCAGGGTTTACCCCTAAACCCGTTCTTGAATCCGGACTTGATGACTACCCCTAAACCCTAAACCCCAAACCCTAAGCCTTGGCTGTCGAGTTCTTTTTCTTTGGACGCCCATGTTGCTCGCATTCGATCACTCGGCGGCTCGTTCCGGGATTAGGACTGAAGGCCTAGGGCGGTTTACTATAGGGGCCTTAATAATTAGAATCGGGTTTTGGAGTATATTATACTATAATTACAATAAGGACCCCCCAAAATAGTATAGGTGATTAAGGCCCCTATCTTACAGCTACAAAGCTGAGTGTTTAATCTGACGGGGTCGAACACTGAAGCACACGATCCCCCAGCGACGATGTCCAACTACGACGACCCGGTACAGCTCGCCTGGGGATAGCAGCTATCCAGCTATGTCAAGGCTCCCTGCGTTTTTGTATCCCTAAACCCTATAAACCCTAAGCCCTAAGCCAAAAGCCCTAAACCCTAAACCCTAAACCCTAAACCTTAAACCCTAAACCCTAAACCCTAAACCCTAAACCCTTTTGGGGCCCAGGGTTGTGGGTGTTGAGCCTTCGCGCGACGTGTTCGGTGCCAGCAGTCTAAGCAGCAGGCGGTCCGCATACGTTTAGGGTTTAGGGTTTAGGGTTTAGGGTTTAGGGTTTACGGTTTAGGGTTTAGGGTTTAGGGTTTAGGGTTTAGGGTTTAGGACACTGAGAATCTGGAATCCTACCTAGACCCCTCAACTGCCCTCTACTTTGACCCTAAACCCTAAACCCCATTTGATGGGGATTTAGGGACCAGAAGGGCTCTATCAAAGAGTATTCGGGAACCCCGAAGACGGTTTCGGGGCTTTCGGGGGCTTTCCTACCAGCCTAGATGACGAAGTCGCAGCGCCATGAAACTTGGTGCCATTTCGGGCTTGGGGGTTCTGCGGGTTAGGGGCTTCCGGCGTTTGGGCTCCAGCCGTCTAGGTTTAGGGCTTTTTGGCGTTGGGTCGTGGGCGCATTCGCACACCACACATGTGGGCTTCGAGTTGCAGGACCAGCGCCAAAGTCAGGACAAGTGGCTGGGGGAGCAGGTCTGAATCATCGTGTAGCCGACCACAAAGTAGTTCACGGACTGGATCATCCTCAGTTAGGGTTTAGGGTTTAGGGTTTAGGGTTTAGGGTTTGGGGTTTAGGGTTTAGGGTTTAGGGTTTAGGGCCTCCCAACACGCTGTACGCGAGCCCTCAAGCCCACAACCTCCAACTCTGAACCCGCAAGCAAACCCCAAACTTTTCGCCGGAGGAACCAAAACCCTAAACCCTAAACCCTAAACTCCTAAACCCTAAACCAAAACAGAAACCAACAAAGTCATGCCAAACTGGACGGAGTCACTGGTTCACCCCAAGAGCCATCGAGATCCGGGCATAGGCGTCGTAGCACTGCCACTTGGCCTCCGGAACAGGAGTGCTTTGATCAGATGTCCCGTCTTGTCTAGAGTTCATATCGGGCTCATATTGTAGATTCTAGGGTTTATATCAACGTCCCTTTTTGCTTTTTGCAGAGTTTAGGGTCCCGAATTTCGGGCTTTTAGATCAAAGCCCGTACATTCTAAACATCATATCAAAAGCAGACATTTTCATGAGGTTGTATCAGGGCCCCGCATTTTCCAGAGTGGATGTGAGGGTCCCATATCTTCTGAAAGCCTCACTCGTGCGACAAGCTGCTGGGCTCCCTCGCCCCAGAAAAGTTGACCTTCTTTGCTTCTATTTCTATTTAAGCCCCCACATGTCCCAACTGTGCTCTAAACCCTAAACCCTAAACCCTAAACCCTAAACTCTAAACTCTAAACCCTAAACCCTTTTGCAACAGGCTTTCCACTTCGCCCGGAGTTGGAGCAAGCAGCCCTAGCAGCTTTACTGCAACCCTAAACTCTAAACCCTAAACCCTAAACTCTAAACCCTAAACCCTAAACCCTAAACCACTCACGCCATGAAAAACTCGCCTCGGATCCTCAGCAACGAAGTACCCAGAAGCTCCGGGCTGCCCCACCTTATGCCACCCACTAGCCTACTATTTTGGGCCATAAGAATTAGAAATAGGGCTTTGGGGTATATTATACTATAATATACTATAACTATAGGGGCCATAAGAATTAGAATAGGGTTTGGGGGCATATTATACTATAACTAGAACAAGGAACCCCCCCAAAAAAACTGTTTTAATTATTACGGCCCCTACATGATTTTTCTTCGGGAAGCTCCCGATCCCCTTTGAGCCCTACCCAAACGCCCCCGAGGCTCCATAGATGCCCTTAAATCCTAAACCTACACCCTAAGCCCTTAACCCTAAACCCTAAACCCAAAGCCCTAAACCCTAAACCCTGCACCTTAAACCCTAAACCCTAAGCCCTTAAACCTTGAACCCCAAATCCTAAGCCCTAAACACTTGAACCCAAAGGCGAGCCTGGAGCTTCCGGAAAAGCTCCACATGCTTGCCGGGAACGCTGGCGGCCGCCTCCATGAGAATGTCCTTTGGGGCTCACCGCGGGGGCGTTCTAGGGCGTTTAGGGCTTTTAGGGTTTAGGGTCTAGCACCGTGTTAACATCGTCATCGTCCTTATTGCCAGTATGGCCATGAACATAGCCATCAAAATCATCAGCAGCACCACCATCATCGTTGTTAGATTCCCGGTGCCTTGAGGACCTCGCACCACTCGCACCAGACTATGCTACACCTCACGAAAAGACCGACCCTGCATTTGAGCTGAGCCCCGCCAAATGTCATACAGGAGCCCCGGCCGAACGTCAGGTCATGATCAACACCATGTCTAATCATCAAAATCCCACCATGAGCACCATCGGCAGCACAGCATCATAAGCATTATCACCAACACTGATCAAATGTAACTAACACGACAGCCGCATCTACAGCGACAAGCCGCAAACGGCCGACCACTAACGCAACAGCTGCCCTGTAGTGCCGACCTCACCTTTTACGGCGTGCACCAAGTAACGAGATGGCACCGCTCGCTGATGCAGAAGTCTTCATTCTACTGCAACGAGATTGATAACGATTGCCACAGCCCGTGTCGTCAGCTGAAGCTCCGTAAACCTCAGACAACACCCTGAATCCTATAAAGCCTATAAACCTAACTGTGACTACAACCCGAAACCCTAAGCCCAAAACCCAAAAACAACTCTAAACCCGGCAACAAACCCCAACGAAGGCCAGGCTCCTCCCGGCCAAATCCGATGTCACCTGCCTCCGCCAGCCGAACCTTCCCAGCACTCTGCTTTCAGGGGACTGTACAAGGTTCGGTTTAGGGTTTAGGGCTTAGGGTTTAGGGTTTAGGGTTTAGGATTATTTATGGTGTTCTAAAAGATCTTTGAGTAAGTAAGAGGCAAGCCTTAACCCTAAACTCTAAACATCCCTAAACCCTAAACCCAGGATGTCTCTGGGGTTGAAGGTATATAATGCTCAATGGGGGGCTTTGGGGAAGCCTTTGGAATCCCATGCGAAAAATGGGCGGGCCGGCTTCTTACCGAGCTTCGTAGGGTCTTTCCTTGCGTTTAAATACGGCTTTTCTAGGACATCTATAGGCTTGATAGGGCTTCCTACTTGTAACAGAGGGACCTCACTAACTAGAGCAATAAAGAGTTTGAAGGGGCTACCGCAGAGCTTGTACAGGGATTTTACGGTTTAGGGTTGAAGCGGGGCCTTAGAACATGGTATCCATTATGTAACATGATGCACGAAAATGCGAGCGGCAACAGCACTCAGCACAACACCATCGTCAACCTAATATACAAGCGCCTGTAACATGATGTAAATGCTCTCGGATTTGGCAAAACCCTGTTCAGCACGACTGAGGTGCCGGCCAGAACCCGCACCCCCTCTTAAGCTTACCCTACGCCTTAAAGCCGGAACCCTAAACTCCTGAACCAGGGCTTTAACCAGGGCATGAAGATCTGGGGCTTTCGGAGGAGCTCTGCAACTCTAGCTCTGTGGCACAAAAGTCCGGGCAATCAGAAGAGGGCTTTGGGGGTTGCTCTGTGTGTTTAAAAATAAGTGGAGGGCGGCCTAAGCCCCAGAGCCACAGAGGTAGCATAAAAGTGCTGTTTAAAAAATCGTATAGATGTTTTTCAAAACTCAAAAAACTCCACCCTGGGCCTCCACCCCTCCAGCCCTCCAGCCTCACCTCCTTACCTCGACGCCTCCACCCCCCACCCCTCCACCCCTTCCATCGCGGGGGAGGGATGCGGCGGGGATCCGCTTTTTAACATGGGCTTGGCGGCCCGGGCCCGAAGCCAACGGAGGCAGCATAAAATAACTATCTGTTTAGGTATTTCAACATCCGCCTTTTTAAAAACAGTATAAAACCTTGCGGGACGTACATTTGCTTCTGCTGCAAACAATCATGCATGTTCATCGCCGAAAACGTTGACTGCAGCACTTCACAACAGTCCACAACCACACAAAGAATCAAGGACTTTAGTTCCTGCAAACTGGGAACATGTACATACACATGATTTGTCTAGTGCCTTAGCACTCATTGTGTCAGGCGTGTACATGTAAGCGTGGGTGTACGTAAACACATACAGACATGCATGTATACATACATACAGTATAAGCTAACCTACAAGAAAAGAACACAATTTGCCAATACACTGCTGCAATGCTCGCATTAGCAATGTCGGATATTGGCAGAATCTAGATTAAAGGTGAATCTTCCATCTTTACGACGATCATTGATGTACATCCCGACGGTCTTCTCACAGCCTGGACCCCTGAACCATAAGCAAATATATACAACGCCTCTGTCAGCAGCTCACGTGCCCGTGAACAAACCATACCATGTGCTCCTAATCAGGGAAGGGGCTAATACACAACTTGTCCACAAGACATAAACTCATACACTGCAGATGCAGAAAACATCGTAAATACCAGCGTTTTCCCAAAATCAGCGAACGAGGTCGTGTGGTATGCGAAAAAAACAACAACTCGACATGTTGTTCCAAGGAGGGTAAACAAAGAGCCCAAGAAACCCTAGCCCCCCCCCCCCGTGCCCCCCAAGCAATCCCAGTACTGTTGTTCGTTTATGAACACCGGCCCTCTTTATAAACAACAGCAGTGTTTCAAAACGACAGAACTATTTAAACATAGCTTGTGTCTACAAAAAATCAGTAACAACATGCAACATGCAGGGTTGCATCACAACAAAACTTTAAGCAACAGATGGTGGAACTATTCGCAAACCATCGAACAATCGAACCATGATAAAAGAAGATAAACGCCTGCGCTACCGTCAAAACGGGCTTTTCGAAACTGCAATCCCGGATCCTTAAACCCCAATCATTCAACCCAAAAACCCTCAACTTTAGTTGCTAAACCTACAAGTCTAAACTCTCCCGTCGATGGCCTCCGGGAGCGCCGCGCGCTGGCTGCTCGACGGCCTGAGCTTTCGCTCCAGCACAATAAAAAACTGGAACTAGTCTTAGTAAGGTTTAGGGTTTAGGGCTTCGGGTCTGGAGTTTAGGGTTTCACATTCGCACAAATCCGGCGAGGGTTCTGTCTCCGCTGCAGAGAGCGAAAGAAAGAGACCACCGCAAGTGGATCGAGCGTGGCCACTTTCAGGAACTTGACCGTGCCCAGCGGCGGCACACTGGCAAAAGGAAGAGTGGAAAGGATTAAAGAGATGCTCCCCCCTCCAATGTTACTCGGAAGGTGGGCTGTCGAACACTCTGCATTGGGATGACGCCCTTGTCATCCCAATGCAGTGGCACGGGCAAAATGCCGGTGACCCTGGTGAAACTTTGCACGCGCTGCGCAGTCAAACGTGCGTCTGGCAAGTGCAAAACGAATTTGTTGCGCAAACAGGAAGACCTGCCGGCAGACGTCATGATGCTCGCGTGGGAACGAACACTAAGCATGCAACTTGAGCCAGCTGGTTCAAACCACTCATGCCTTTGGACTTCTGCACACTGTCGGCATCGCGGACACCACATGTTGCTTTCCAGTTGCCAGCAAATCAAATGTTGTAGGCATGATAAAGAAGGTATCGCACATCAGCAAATAAGAAATTGCAACAATCAAAGACTTAGCAATCCGCAAGCTTTCATTCCTCACATGTGACTGAGACATTGCTCATCTGTTTCCAAATGTTTCGCACGTTATACACAGGATGGGAAAGGTCTGCTGAAAATGAGTGTGCGAAGCTCTACAACCTGCATTTCGCAGCACATCTCGTTCTCCACATCGCCCGCTCGGTTGTGGCATGTATAGGGCACCAAAGCATGCAGTGCGCAGCTTCATTCTGGTCTTGCAACAAACTCCACCAACACGGTAGCATGTATGACTCATCCACAAACTCGGCTCCTACAGTAAATTCAGCCCAACAAGGTAGCATGCACTACTTGCAGTTTAATTCTCATCAAATTCGGGGGGCAATTTCATTCAGCATAAGGCATACTTGCAAGCGGCCATCATAGCTCCTGACGGGACTCACGCAGGTAGCTGGTCTGTCCTCGCAAGAAGTTCGGTTCACCAGGGACGCGTTTGCCTGATAAACGGCTTCAGCAACGTCCGTTGGGCCGTTCCGGGTCTTGTGCGCGAACCTGTCGACACGAGAACCGCCCAGTTGCAGGCAGCGCCAGGTCGGACAAGCAGTGCACATTGTCCGGGCCACTTTCGGCAAAGCAGCTTGGGCAAGCTTCAGGGCCTTATGGTGGGTCATGGCACACGCCAGGGCAGACCACGAATGCGCCGATCCGTCCTTCAAGGACTGGCGCAAGCCTCGGCCGACCTTTAGCTTACAGCATTGTCGTGCTCTGCCAGCACCTGTCCACGTAAAACGAACAGAACGCCGAAGGAGCCGTTGGCGGTCCTCGCAGCACGGTATCAGCACAAAGGAACCATGTATGCAGACGGATGCTATGATACAAACCAAGCATCTGCTGAAGTACAACGTGCTCATCGTCAACCTCTGCTTCTGTGACAGCCCTGCACCAGGCCAGGCAGACCCCAGTCAGGTGTTCCCAGTACTCTGCAGCTTTCGGCTTAGGGCACTGATGCTGTGGAGCCAGTGAAGCCGGCAGGAGGAAGCTCGACATCACCCAAGTCCTCCTCCGTCGGTTCACAGCTTTGCGCCACGCCATCCTCGTCCGCATCCTGAATCACACGCTTCAACACCATGCTGCCCATCTCTGCATTCGCCACCCGATTGACAGTGGAATTGCTGTCGACGATTCCGCTCACGGCGGCTCAAGTGGAACCTCGGCCCATTCACCTGTTGGTTGGTGCATCGCCCCAAAACTGCTGGTTGCCCTCCATAATTCGGGTGCGGTGGCACACATTTTCCCTCCGGATCGGGAACCACGAGTCACGAGTCCTTGTCGGCGAACGCGACGCATGAATCGCACATCTTGCACAGTGCGTGCAGGATGTGCGGCGCTCCAAACCAGTCCGGCGTAGTAGCCCGTTGGGTCGTAGCGACTTTAACGGGCACACTTGCACGCGGAACAGGTGTGACTTTCGGAATGTTCCCTGCTCCCGGACGTCGCCACTTCGGCGGTCCAAACGAACGTAGTCGTCGACAATCTTCAGGCGCCAATTCGCAAAACCTGGAAGTCAAGACGTGGCTCGACGTTCCTGAACCGGGATCGCTTGTGGCGGGCGGGTTTACCCGAATTTCGTATTTCGCGTCTGTGTCCTTCGAAGCGCCGGCCACGCCAGCCTGAAGCCAGTCGAGGAACTCCGTCACCTCCTGGCTCTCGATGCGGACTTCCCAAAGCAGCTCCCACTCCACCAGCGACCTTGACTTTGTTCCTGCGACACCACACCTCATGCTCCTATAGATTGTCATGAAGGCCATCCGTCACCGCTCATGACCTGGACCTGGTCGTAGTCGGCGTCCTCTGGTGTATCGCGCAGCTGTCGTGGGCTATGCTGAGCTGCTTGAGCCAAAATGGCCAGGGTTTCAGGTTTAGGGTGCTTGGGGATCGAACTAGACTTACACGTAGCGAGGTTTAGAGCCGGGGATCAAACCGGGGATATGGTTTGTACAAGAATGTCGTAAGGTGCCCCAAGAAATAAGTCTTCCATGCTTTATCTTCTTGTACTTTAACGGCCTATTTCCTGGTCCTGGTCAGCAGCCACTACATCTGGAAAACTGAAAAGTACTTCTCCAAAGTGTGGTTTCGCTGAGTTTTGTTCTACGACAATGTCGAAGAACCCGCGGTAGAGTCTACCGGTGGTCAAAGTGTCTCCATCTTACGCGGGGTTTAAGGTGTTTCTGCTGGGTCAAGACCCTGCGAATAGTGTTTAGGGTTCAGGGTGCCGAGTTTAATTTACGGAAACTCGAAACTTTTGAAACCCAAACCCTAGACCCATCAAGCCCGAACTTAGGCCCATTGACTCCTAATGCAACACCCGTGAACCTCAACAGCTGGGACGAACATGAATCCGATTCAGGATCGAACTCCTGAGATGAAATCTCCTGCTCGGGCTTCAGTTGCCAACCTACCTTGACCCTACCCTACCTCTTGCCCCACAATGCCCCCAAACCCTGAACCCTACACCCAAACCTTCAAAAAAGCCCCTCCCCCCCCAATCTTGCAGAAGCAACTATACTACAGCTTTTTTATACCTCTAACCTAACCATCATGTTAAATATATCAGTTATAACTATGGTATAACACCTAACTGTCATGTTAATTATATCAGTTATAACTATGGTATAACACCTAACTGTCATGTTAATTATATCAGTTATAACTATAGTATAACACCTAACTATCATGCTAATTCTATCAGTTATATCTACCGTATAGCTAGAAAACAACTAAACCTTAAACCCTAAACCCTTATATTACACGACTAAGAGGCGGAGCTGAGGACGCCGAGGGCTGACTTTGTCCTTGCCCTTGGCTTTGGCCTTCTCCCTTGCGCCTCAGCAGGGGTGTAGGGTTTAGGGTTTAGGGGGTTTTCTGAGGGGGTTGGGGAGTGTAGAGTATAGAAAGCTCGAGATTCAGGGGTTTAGGGTTTTTTTGCCTCCTTCTTTTTAGGGTTTAGGGTTTAGGGCTGAGTGCTGAGGGACTTCAGGTTTAGGAAGCTTTGTGTTGATTCAATAGTATGGGCTTCTATTGGGGTTCTTGCAAGGGTTTCCCACAATGAAGGTTCCTAAAGGGGAGATGGGTGGGTGTTTTGTCGGGCTTTTTTAAAATCTTAGGGTTGACACAACCCGAAACCCCAAATCTCGAAACCCTTATTCTTATTATCTTCTTTTTGCAGAAATGGAGCAAGGGAATCACATGGGCGATTGCGCCGGTGATGTAAGTTTCCGGGGCTTACGCCGTGGAGTCTGGGGCTAAAAGTTTAGAGTGAGTTCAAAGTTCAGGCTGAAGGCTAAGGCTCCGGTGTAGGGTCCCAAGTTTAGGGCTTTAGGGGCGTAGGTTGTGCCGAGCATCGAGGATGCAAGTCTAGGGATTGAACCATTGAATTCCCTAGGATTCGGCACGATTGCTCACACCAGGAGGCGCCAGATCTGGGAAACCTCCATCCATGCTTGCCCTAGATCCTAGATCCTTAAACCCGAAACCCAAACCCAGGTCATTCCAAGCCCTTGGTATAAACACTTCGTGGACCCGGATCTGCACGTTGTTCGAAGCCTCCATATGCCGTCTGCACACGTAGGTATTGCTACGTAAGCCCGGTGGCTCCGCCCTAAGTCCCACAGCCTATATGACACCTAAAACCCTCGACGCTAAAGCATATCTATCTAAGCTATCCAGCGAACCTGTTTATCTCGTGTATCTGTGAAAAAAAAAAAATATATATATATATATATGTATGTATATCTCTCTCTCTACCCACCTACCTACATACCTACCTACCTCCCTGCCTGCCTGCCTGCCTACCTACCTACCCGCCTCCCCTGACCTACCTACCTACATGGCTATCTATATCACGGGACCGGAGACACAGTGCTCCTAGTGATTCAGGCCCGAATGTTTCAGGACTCTTGCGTACTGTAGGGGCCTCAATAATTAGAATAGGGTTAGGGGCTCCTTTTTTGTATATTCACAATTAGGAGCCCTATTTCGGAACCCTAACAATAATATAAGCAATTATTTAGGCTTCTATATTATTGATGACCACCCGTCCTGCCTTTTTAGCACCTACTAGTTTCCTGCTCGCACTTGCATTGCTACACATACTGCGAAGATAACGTCATGATACAATCACCTCCCTCCAGACCGTATTCTGAATCCTTTAGCCACCCCGAAAACCAAAAAGTTGAAGCCATGTGAACCTTTCAAATCCTGATGCTAAACACCATGTTTCATAAGAATCAAGACCCTAACACCGTTACGTCTGTTTGGGATAAGTCTCTCTGCTTGCAGCTCCCACTTTTGGGCCCCCTGAGGTCCGAAGGGAATGCGCATCACCTGGAGCTGCACTTCATGATCACTTGGGGCCGGGGGGTTTTGCGAAAATAGGGGACGCTAGTATATAATAGAGTACCCTATAACTAGTAGGATCCGTATCACCCTAAACCCTAAACCCTATAACTAGTAGGATCCGTATCATAAGGACCCCAAAATAAGAATGTGGCTCCTTTTACGTCGCCCCCTGTAAGGTGATCCATAAGGGATCGAGACGTATAGGGGGGGCGAGCCTGCTTTAGCAGGGGTTTTGGGGTTTTGGGTTTATGTAGGGTTTAGGGTTTATGGTATACACGATTTAGAGTTGTTGTTTTAAAGTGACTCTTTTCCCATCCGCACGAGTCAGAGCATCCAGGAAAGCCCATTGGGCAGGCGGATCAGCCTTACGATTTAGAGTTTAGGTTTTAGGGTTCACGCTCTCACAACTCGGACATGCCAGGCGAGGAGCCATAGTCTAGGGTTTAGGGTTTAGGGTTAGGGTTCTGGAGCAATTAGAATAAGGAGCGCTCAGGAATAGAATCGCTCTTTATTCAGGCAAGTATATTCTACCCGAAGTTACACAGCAAAATATGTATGTAGCTTCCTTCGCGGCAGCTCTCTACTTAGTACGATGGCTCAAGTGTTAGTGAGCACAATAAACATTAGTACGATGGCTCCAAACTCGGTGAGTACAAGCCTGCTTGTAAGAAGCCCTTGATTCCCTAAACCCTAAACCCTAAACCCTAAACCCTTTTTTTGAACCCAGACTCTGTTGATCAGCAAACCCTAAACCCTTAACCCTCGATGTTCTCTGGCACACTGGGCAGTGGAAGCACACAGCGAGCGGTCTGGCTGCGCACTAAACCCTTTCAGCACTAAACCCAAAGCTGAAGTGCCGCAGGCGTTGATTCTTGAGGCCATGTGGGGGATGGCAGGCTTGTCCTCCTATTGAGTCACCGATGAAAGGTCGCAGACCACCTGTTGACGCATCTGCCGTAAAGGGGAGCACCTGCAGTACTGTTGATGATGTAAATGATGTATATCCTGCACTACCTTAAGGACCCTAAACTGTGGGAATTATGGTGTATTCCTTATTATGAGTAATGCAGGGTTTACATCATCAACCGTATCACCTGTGATCTCTTAGCACCCCCGAGCCCCACCCTCCTCAAACCCTGTACTTACAATTATAGGATCCTTAAGGGAGGGTGGCTCAAGGGGAGAGGGTCCTGGGGATCCTTGGGGAGCTTTAGGGAACCTAAGGGAGTACTAGACGGAATTGGGGTTACTGGGTTATATACCCCCCCTTACAACCCCCTCCCTTAAGGATTCCATAATACAACCCTGAAACCAAGCTCTATGCAGCCGCTTTAGGCCCAAACCTTTGCAAACCCTAAACCATCGCTTCCCTAAGAAGACAAAGCCTACGCAAGCAAAGCCCTACCTGTGGCCCAACACACCCATCTTGTGGGGTTTAGGGTTTAGGGTTGAAGGAACAGGACAACCTACCTTTTTTCAAGGAACTATATAGAAACCAGAGTAAGGAGCCCATGAAAATTGTAGGTCTTTTCGGCTACAAAACCCTAAACCCTAAACCCTAAAACCCTTTTGCCCTAAACCCTAAACTGGTGCAGAGAGCAGGGGGGCGCCTTGGAAAGGCCCTGCTGCTCGAAGTCGGAGAGCTTGGTGGTAAGGCTTTGAATCCTCAGCTTCTTTAGGGTTTCGGCTCTCACACTTTTTGGGGTTTAGGGTTTAGGGTTCCACGGTTTAGGGTTTAGGGTTTAGGTCTACGAAGGTTCAGAGGCTTTTCATAGGATTTTTGTGGGTTTGCACTCTCACAACTCGGACAGGCCAGGCGAGGACTCCATAGGTGCAGAAGCCGGCGTGATACATGGATGTGGGGAGCTTGTTGGCTTCATATTTGCCTTTGTGACAGCTTTCAGGGTCCTAAACCCTGAACCCTAAACCCTAAACCCTCGACCCTTAACCCTAAACCCGAAACCCTAAACAAAAAACCCTGAACCCTAAACCCTAGACCCTAAACCCTAAACCCTTAATCCTAAACCCGAAACCCTAAACCCTAGACCCTAAACCCTTAACCCTAAGGGTTGGGGCCTTTCGGACTCGGACTCAGGCGTTTGCTTCTTGCACCCCTACCGAAAGTCCCAAACTCAGTTTTGCGAAGGAGCCCCTTAGGGTTAAGGGTTTAGGGTTAAGGGTCTAGGGTCTAGGGTTCAGGGTCTAGGGTTTAGGGTTCAGGGTTTTTTGTTTAGGGTTTAGGGTTTAGGGTTTCGGGCTCAGGGTTAAGAGTTGAGGGTTTAGGGTCTAGGGTTTCGGGTTGTATACTCGCAACGGCCGGAATGCAAGCCTTGCTTCAGAAGTCTAAGCCGAGAGAAGTGGCCCAGGCAACTCAGCTTCCTGTCACGAAGCCAGCTGTGAAGCTTTGCCCTCACAGCGAAAACAACTCAGACCTTAAACAGATCCTAAACCCTTCACACCACAGACCCTAGATCCTGAATTGAGGATCTAGGGCTTATGGCCACTTGTGGCCTCAAACCTCAAACTAAAGGCTAAAGCTACTAAAGCCTTATAACCTAAAATATAGGGACCTTCATAATCAGAATGTTGAATAGGGTTTAAGGGCCATTATACTACTACTATAGGAAGGAACCCCCGAAATAGTATTGGTAAATATTTAGGCCCCTACATTACACAACCCACCCTAAACCCTTTTAACAACAGGCTTTCCACTTCGATCGGAGTGGGAGCAAGCAGCCCTACCCTAAATTTTAAAACACCAAACCCGAAACCCTAAACCCTAAACCCTAAACCCAAACCCGAAACCCTACACAGGCCCAGGATCTGCGAGAGGTTCGGGATGGGAAGCCGCACGTAGCGAGTCCTGCGAAGATTCCGCTGGAGGAGCTTTGTGGGCTTACTTTTAAGATCCTTAAGGGCGTAGGGTCTAGGGTTTCAGGTTTAGGGTTTAGGGGTTAAGGGTTGTTTCGGGTTTCGGGTTTAGGGTTTAGGGTTAAGGGTTTAGGGTTTAGGGTTCAGGGTTTAGGGGTTAAGGGTTTAGGGTTTCGGGTGGAGGGTTAAGGGTTAAGGGTCTAGGGTTTAGGGTCTAGGGTTTAGGGTTTAGGGTTGGGGGCCTTTAGGACTTTAGGTCTCCTTGCTATCACCTATAGTCTCCATTGTAGTTCCCTGTTTTGGTTTAGCCAATTCT